TGGGAGCCAGGACTCCTAGGCTCTGTCCCTGGCTCTGGGAGGGACGTGGGGGGCTGGGAGCCAGGATAGCTAAGCCCCACCCTCAGTACCTTCTCCAGCCGCCCACTGCTGTAGAGGCTGAGGTTGAAGTAGCGCGGAGCGGCCAGCAGGAGCGCCACCTTCTCCGCATCAGCTGAGAACTGCGGGAGCAGAGCAGGTGTCACTCAAGCAGGGAGGCAGCAGGATGGGCGGAGATGCCCCCCCTTGTACCCCCTACGACCTAGCTGGGAACGGCCTCAGAGCAGGATCCTCTAGATTATGGCATGTGAGACCCGGGGAAGGGCAAAGGCCAGACCCAGGGTTCCTGCTTCAACATGGCCCCCTCCCTCCCCAGCGCAGGTGAAGAGCAGAGGCAGGAAGGGGCCCAGGGCACACCTCTGGGAGGTTCCCTCCCTGCACCTCCCCTCCGTTTACCTTGGCCAGCAGCTGGGGCAGCAGCGGGATGAGGTACTGAGTGAGTTTCTCCCTGTCGTCCTCCTGGGCCTTCCGCTCCCGCGCTGAGAGCACCTGGGGCAGGGGATGGTGCTGTGAGAGGTGCAGCGTGCACACCTCCGGGCAGCGGCACAGGGACCCAGCTTGCGTACCCCCTTGGGGGAGTGCTGATGTCTCCGGGCCCATGGGGACATGTCACCCAGAGCCGCCCAACGACCCTGGGGGAGCTGATGGACTGCGCTCCCCTCCCTTCTCTTGGGCTCATTTACCTTCTTGCCAGGGCCCCTGCCAACGGGTGGCTTCCCCTCCGTGGCCTGACGCATGCTGGAGACCAGGATCTCAATCAGGGCATTTTCCTGCTGGTCGCCCCAGCCTGCTGGAGGGAGAGGGATCAGGAGCAGCCCCAAAGGCTGCCAGGCAGCTGTGACTCCCTTGCTGTCACCCCGTGCATTGCAGCCTCCCGTCCCTCACTCACCCTCCTCCGGGGACTCTTCCAGCAGCAGGTGCGTCAGGCCATCCCAGTCCTTCAGCAGGGGGGCAGCACAGTCCCACAAGCTGTCCACCAGGTACACCGCATGCTCGTGGAGCTGGGGGAGGAAAGGGGAGACCTGGTGATACTAGCCCCCACACAGACTCCCCCACACTCCTCCCAGCCCCACTATGCTCCTCACCTCGCTCTCGATAAAGAAAGCCAGCAGCAGCCTGAAGAAGTCCCTGCTCCCCCCACGGCGCCCCTTCTCCTTCCCGGCTTCCCAATCCAGGTCAAACTGCCTGCAAACCACACACACATTAGAGAGGGGAGAGCCAGGATGCCTGGGTTCTCTCCCCTGCTCTGGGAGGGGAGTGGGGGCTGGTGGGTTGGAGCAGGGGAGAGCGAATGTTGTATTTCAGCCACCTGTGAAAAGCACAGGCTGAGATTGCAATTAAGGCCTGAAGGGAGGAGGGAGGTGAAACCCCTCTGAGTGAGGTGGTTGTGGGGGGAGCCCCATACCCTGGGGGGAGGAAGGTGTATATTTGTTGGCAGCCCCACGCCCCCTGCTGGTGGTGCTGTGACCGCGCTCACTCACTCACTTCTTGTAAAGAAACTCCCCGGCGGCAGCAGCCAGCGCCCGGTTGGAAGCATACACCACGGGGTAAACGGCCTCACAGTCCTCATCTGTCAGCATCTCCTCCATGTTCCTGCTCACAGAGGGGGAGGGGCTCAGCCTGAGCAGGAAGAGGGGTCTCCAGCTGCCCCACACCATGGGGCTCACTACGTGCCCCTCCCAGCTTCCTTAAGTGCCCTGCACATGCCTGGCCTCCCCCCGTGTCCCCGCTTGGCTCCCGGCTCCATACTCACTGCAGGATCAAGGTCAGCAGCTTGACGGCCTCCACACCCACGTCGGGTTCTTTGTCCAGGACCATGGACACCATGCGACCCTGAGAGCCACCAAACGGAGAGTCACTCATAGGAGGGTAAGTGGGCCCCACAGGAGGGAGGTGTCCCAGGGCGCGCTGCAGGGGGACAGATGGGCGGCAGGGCAGGCTCCCCGGGGAGGGGGGTGTCCCAGGGGAAGGCGGGCAGCAGGGCAGGCCTCCCCAGTAGGGGGGGGGTGTCCCAGGGGCAGGCGGGCGTCAGGGCAGGGCTCCCCAGGAGGGTGAGGGCGTCTCAGGGGCAGGCGGGTGGCAGGGCAGGCTCCCGAGGAGGTAGGGCGTCCCAGAGGCAGGCGGTGGCCGGGCAGCGCACTCACCTTGAAGCGGCTGGTGAAGAGCTCCATGCGAGCAGCCATCTCCCGGCTGCGGTACAGCCCCTGCAGGGCCTTCAGGCACTTGAGCCGCACCTCCCGCTGCTGTGGGGATAGAGAGGCTGAGAGCCAGGCCAGCACCAGCATCCGTCCCGTCCCTGCCCCACAGGCCACAGCCCCCTCTCTGGATCTCCCTGCTCCCCTCCAGCACCCAGGCCCCAGCCGGGCCCCTGCTCCCCACCTTGTCGTGCAGGGTCCAGCCGATGTATTTGAGGTAGCTGTCTGTCAGGAAGGAGGCGCTGTAGCTCTGCATCCAGTTCCCCATCTCCTCAATGCAGATGGCCCGGATCTCAGGCACCAGGTCCCTGCCAGCCAGACAAGACATGCAGCATGCCCCTGCAGTGCCCGCCCCTCGTCCCTCCTGCATGCAGGAGCCCCGTCCCGCCCCCAGCCTCACGTGCAGATGGCACACTGTCGTCCCAGGGCAAGACAGGGACGCCCTGCAGAGTCACACCCAGCTGGCGGGGCCCCCTCCTAGCCTGACCTCCCCTCCCCGCACTCACCTGTACCGATGCACAAAGACCCCTTTGAAGATGGCGTTCATCATGTTCTCGATCTCCTCCTGCTGTTCCAGAAGCTGAGACAGACACGGGCGTCACCCACACCACTTCTGCGGGCTCTGCTCCTACCAGCCCAGCACCCGCCCCCAGCACCACCATTCCCCACCCTGCCCCTACCATCCCATCCCCACCAGTCCAGCACTCCCTGGCACCATGCCCCCACCCCATCAACCCAGTGTCCCCTAGCGCTGCCCCTGCCAGCCCAGGGCCTAGCCTTCGCTCACCTCCCTGCGCTTCTCCAGCAGTGCCTCTAACTTGTCCGTGGCCCTGCGGCTCGGCCCCTTGCTCCTCTCGGCCTCATACTGCCGCTGGTTGTTGTCTTTGTGCAGGCTCACGCCCAGTGCCACCCTCACCAGCGATGTCATCAGCTTCATGGCTGGCAAAGAGCATGGAGTGAGCAAAAGGGGGAGCTCTGCATGTACCCCCGTTACGGATCCCCAGGATCAGGGCTACGGCCCCCGCTTTGGAACGGTCTCTAGAAGGAACCCTTCAGTGTGTCAGACCCCCAAGGGGTCTCCCTCTTCTTTCAGGGGAAGCCAGGCGGTTTCGCTGTGACACTCACATGCCGCTGTCAGAACAGCGGGGTTTATTCGTTAAGTGGCACACAGCACAGGAAGCTTGGGGCGTCTAGAGAAATGAAGGTTAAAGCATCGTCCATTCTGGGTAGCCCAGAGCCCAGCCACGTTGTAGGGAACCCCTTGGTTTAAGGTCTGTCTGTCCGTCCATCCGACCTCCTGGGCCAGACTCCAGCTGAGAGCCCCGACACCTTCCAGCAGCCAACACTTGTCCCCCCACCTCATCTAACGGTTTGTTCTGGAGCTGGGGAAATGCCGTTAGCCTCCCTGCTGAGAGGTGGCACCCACCCCTCAGTCTCCTCGCCTGCCCCGAGAGCAAACAGTCACCGCCCGCCCGTTCCCCCCGGCCTGGGTAACAATGCCGCCTACGGGGAAACTGAGATACAAACAGGACTCATAACGATATTACAAAAACAACAAGGAGTCTGGTGGCACCTTAAAGGCTAACATTTATTTGGGCATAAGCTTTCGTGAGTAAAAACCTCACTTCT